GTCGTCGTCGTCGTCGTCTTGGCGTCCATGCATGCCGCTTGCCGCGCATTACGCGCCATAAATTATACATGTGGCTACACTGCCGCACGCCTTCCTATCTCTCGCTCTCTCTCTGTCTCTCTCTCTCTTTTCTCGACGTACTCTCTTTGCCGCGCGGAGAGCAAAAAGAAAGCTAAAAGCCAACTCGCGCTTCCAATTTCTTTTTCTCTCTCTTTCTCTCTATCCTTCGATTTGCCGAGGCGAATGCGACTCCTATACTCGTATAATGCAAGTGTCCTTAGAAGCGTTTAGCTAGATGAGAATTTCTCATTTTCATGGTAAAAAGAAATATGCTTGTCTCCGTTTGTGAAATAAAATACATCAGTTTTAATGTCCCAGACTTTCTCAACGATCGCTCAATCATCCTCCTCCGCGTGACAAGAAAAAATACTGTTTACAAAAGTTGTCACGGTCCGCGCAAGGATACGATTATTTTCGGCCGGACGTTTCTTCGCGGCAAAAGTCGACTTGCAGCAGCAGATAGAAATATAGAAAAAACATAAGTGTTTTTTCGTCGAGACGGAAATGGCGAATGAAAATATGCAACTGAATGTCTCGACAGGCACGTCCATGCGCGTGGCAATTGTCGAGGCTTCGCCCATCCGTTCCGCGTCGAGCAGATTTGCCGCAAGTTGATTAACGAACGGTACGCTCGGTGCCGAAACGGAAACGACTGACTGACTCGACGAAAGAGCAGTCGCATCCGAGTGGTAAGATGCTTAAGTACAGTGCCAAAGCGAGCAAGCTTCGCTCGATATTGCTTCGCTTTGGCATTGATCCCAGAGGGTGTGTGAGCGACATACACAGAGGCGCCGTATACCGAGACTGCTGTGCCTTTATCTAAACGAGCGGTGCTGTTCGATTTGAAGCCAGCCGCAAGCATGCACGTCGCGCGGCAACGTTTCAGCCCGCCGCCGCCGATCGAATTCCTACGCGACGGGAATTTCGTAATAAGCGTCGGCGTTTCGCCTTTCCGCCGTGCGATCTTACGATAATTGTGGCTGGTACGCGCGTCGCGCAATGCCCATAAACAGTGCTTGGCTCCGCGTCGCTATTGCGTATGCGATTCGTTCGTGACGCGCGCAACTTGGGTGCCGCTCGGAAGCGTTCGCGAAGCGCCACGCAAACTTATCGTCGATAATCGGCTATAATCGAGGATAAACGGGGGTAAACGAGAAGGAGCGCGTGCGCTTGCCGTGTACGCGCGTCTCGAATGAGTTGCCGGCGTTTCAATGCGCGTCTTGTCTCTACAAACAGGCGGCCGAGCAGCGGATGGGAGAAGAAGAAGAGCGAGAGCATCGTCGGAGATAATCTCCGTGATTGCCCGTAGTCGCAGCAAACAATTCCGCGAGCGCAAACATCATCCTCCGGCCTGTGCCTGCCTCTCTGCGCGGAATGAGAAAAAAAGGAGGCACGCGGAAATATCAAGCGAATAGGCCAGAAGAGCAAAAAACCATCTCGGAAATGTGTTTGCATACAAATGGACGCGGCGGTAGATTCTCCAGAGGGAGAGAGAGAGAGAGAGAGAGGGAGAGGGAGAGAGAGCGCGCGTTCCCCGTAAAGAGGACAGATCGAGAGAGGAAATTGTCCCTCGTAGCCTCGTGCGAGCCCCCGGACGGGGGTCAAGCGTCGGCTTTTTGTCCGCGCGCTCGCTCGCGAATTTCCGTGCCATTCCGATACGGACGCCCGATCCTTCCTGTTCCCTCTGCGGCACCTGCGCGACAGCGAAAGTGTCCCGCTATGCTCCGGAAATTAGAAATGGCTTTCGTCCAAGTTTTCTCTTTGCAGCTTTCAATGTGATCGGCCAGTGGCGCGGCTACGGCCCAATTGTCTCGTCAACAGTCAAGGGCATGGCGTGTAGCGATCGATGCTTCCCGTTCGAATAAGAATAACGATAGCTGCCAAGCGCTGTGCTTCGAGATCCAATCGCTGCCAATGATTGGCCCGCGTCAGTCGGCGCAGTCGGCGTGCGGACGATTGCATTTCCGAAAACGCTTGAAAACAAATCTACCGACGGATCGCGCTGTACGATGAAAACCGATGAAAACCGATGAAAACCGATGAAAACAGATGAAAACCGAGACCGAGGGCCAATCAATTGATATACGATCGAACCGTAACAGAGCGTCGCGCGCATGAACGTACGAACGAAAAATGAAAATCAGTGGCTATGTTTTACCGAAGAGCGCCCAAAAGCGGGAATACGCGCACACGGGCAAGCGATAAAATTATCTCGATCGTGAAATGTCGGGGCGTAACAAACGCGCGCGCAGCCTAGCGCGAATTGGCGCGAAGTGGCGCGAAGTGGCGCGAAGCGACGGGACGAAAAGACCTTGCTCGCCTTCGTTACGGCACCGCGTGCCGAATTAGCAGATTCGGATTGGGTTTTTGGCGCGGTCGGCAGCCAATCGAAGGGACCGACGGCGCGGCCGAGGGAGGAGGCCAACTTGAAATTTTAACGCCAAAGTCGGCCGGGGCTTTTGCCAGCGTGTTCGGCGGCCGAACACGTACGGAGGACCGGACTACACAGCAGCCGGCAGCGGGTCTTGGGTCGGCGGCGCTGCTGTGCGCGACGTACGATTCAATTGCCGGCAAATCGTAGGACAAATGGGGCTGCGCGCGGAATTATTAATGCTCCGGGCGCAGCGGCGCGGATGAATGGCGGGGGCGAAGGCCGGCGCGAATGTTTACTCGCGGATGATTTCTGTCGGGGCTTTATTGTGTTTGCCGCGCGTCAAAAGTTGTCGAGCCGCGCGGCCGCGGTGCTGTAACGCGTTTAAGCCGGACGTCACTTTCGACGCGTCGCCGCCAAAGTTTTTGACGTGCTCGCGGCCAGCGGCAGACTGCCTCGCCCGCCGCCGCGAGCGCGCATCCAGTTTCGCGCGACGTCTGCTAATTGTCACGCGCCCAGGACTCGGCTGGCAACTTTCAAAAATTAACTTCCGACGGCTCGGCTGCCCGGGCCCATCGACGAGACAATGCTCCGTTGGCCTATCCTTCGAATATTCGCCTCGCCGTGCTCTCTTTCTCGTCGCGGAGTCCTCGAATAACCGAATAACTCGCCCGAGCAGCAAGATTCCGCGAATGCTCTCGGCTGTCTTTATTCGTTCAGAAATTTGCCTGCTCGCCGAGTCGTCTTCTCCTCCTGCCTGCCCCCTCGAAGAAACTTGCTCCCTCGGAGAATTTCTCTGGATACTGATATCTCGAAGGGGCCGGACGGCGCAAGGACATAGGACAGAGCTATTTGGCCAACAAAGACAAATTTCTGCAGCAAACTCCGAGGACAACTCTGCAAATGAGGAATTTGCAGAGAAGTCGCAGTTGATTTCTCAGATCGTCAGCTCGAGGCCTAAATCGGGCATACGTCATTCGGGCTAAACGCGAATCAGCGCAGTCAGTATCAGCCGCTGCCGGCGCTCGGATACCACGGACATTATCGACATTGTCCTCGGCCCGTGGACCTTCGTCAGCGGTCGTCCAATCAGAGGCGTCCTTCAAGACTTGCAAATCGAGCAGACGAGTGGCGGAGGCAATCAATCGGGTGTTTTGGTTAAGACGCGGCTGGCTGGCGCCGGTATCGATATTATGCTAGACTTGCTGCTCGACGCCTCGTGTACACCGAGCACTGCCGGCCGCGCGTATAAACCGGATCACGGGGGCGTGCGCAGACCGAGAGGGACACCTTATCGTTTGTTGCTTCAGCGCCTTCAAATAACAGGCATTTCGAAGGACGCGCCACGGCGCGCCGTCAATCTAAATAAATCGATGCGCCTTGTTTTACAAGCCAGCGTGCGGCCACTCCCGGCGTCTAATCTGCGCGTCGATAATACGCCGCGCGTGCACGCGCCGATCGATCGATTTCAATTGTAATTACAAACGCAGCATGCCCGCGTCCTCTAATGCCGCCCCTGCAGGGCCTGGGCTGCGGCGATAACCTGCATTGTAACGCGATTATCGCGTGCTTCGATGCGCGATGCCGACGGAATTTTCGGCGAAAAAATCGGAAAGCGGCGCAACTATCTGCCTGCGCGAGAGGGAGCGAGGCCCAGAAAGAGCAACAAGCGGACTCGTTAAAGCTCGACGACGACGACGACGACGACAACGACGACGAGCTTCCGGCAGTCGTTACCGGCGCGAGTCCTCATTTTCTCTCCATCTCTGCCCCTTGTCGATTGCCACGAGCCCGATGATCTTGAGGTACGCTTTTCAGTCTCCTCTCGCCATCTCGTTAATCCACCATATTTTCTCACCTCCCGCTGCTTTTTTCGACTTCTTTGTCGCGTACTGCAATCTTGCAATTTGGCACGCGCCAACGTCGCAACGACCAAATTCATTGAAAATGGGTCGAGTGTTGAACGGAACCCGTCCGCGGATATAGCCCCCCCGAGTTTCATCTTTACAGTCGCGCTGGCCCTCTGGGCCGACACGGCGCGACTCCTGCCGTTGGCCGTCCGAGCCAGCCCCACTCGATATTTCGCCATAGTTTGATGGGCCTGTGCGCGCGGCGCGGCATATAAAAAATCGGCGCCGAGCCGCCGTAAAAGCGCGGAGGTAATAGTCGATCGATCGATCGCCCCGCGTACGCACTTGATTTGCACGCGCGCGAGGAACGGAGCGTTTACGAGCTATAGCGTCGAGGTTTAATTTGACGAGGAAGAAGCCGGGGAAGGGAAGGAAGAGTGGAGAGAAGAAAACAACGGCTGTGAATTGAAATTGCCGGGCTCGCGTGTCCCTTTTTTGCCGTCTCTGCATCGGCCATAAGTTTGCGAGCTTGTCGCTTGGTCGCTCGCGAGCTCTAGCCTGGGAATATTGCATTCCTTCGGGGAGAAAGCCTTACAGTCTGTTCGCTCTTGCGCGTAGCCGCGCGCGTGCATAGGTGCGCGCGCGTTCGCGTCGCAATAAAAACCAAGAGCAGCGAAATTGGATTTTAAAAGATGCTCCGTTCTGCTCTTTTCTTGCAGTGAAGTACTTGAGGGAGGTGACGCCTTACTTCCGCAAGGCTTCGATTATCCAGGAGGTCGGTTGGGAGCTGCAGCGCGGCTTCCTGAGCGCGACGCCTCCGCCACCCAAGTCGCCGCCTCGGGCGGACACGCGCTATCTACCGCTGCAGCTGTGTCGGCTCACCAGGGCACATGCCTCCTCCGATCCCGGTAAGTATTGCACCCGCAGTAGGTCGCGAGACAACAGAGCCTCGGTTGCTCGATCGAACCGTTTTGCCGAAACGGCGCCAAAGGGAAGGCGTGAAAATAGGAAAACGCGCAGGACGCAGCGAGGAGAGAGACAGAGGAGATGGAACGGCCAGGCAAGGCTTCCGTCGGGACGACCGAAAGGCCGTTCTCAGCTGCCTTCTGCTGGGGCCTCCGTTGGCATAGAGCGATCGATGGAAATGAGCTCGCCGACTGGTCGCACGGCCCGCGACACCCGTGCCGCGACACATCTCGGTGCCCTCGCAAAATAAGTGCAAAATAAGTAGAGAAAGCAGCTGCCTCTTGAGAGTCTCCTCGAAATGCACTCGCGGCCGCAGCCGCCGGATCCAGGAACGGGTTTCGTAAGCGCCGAGGCAATCGAAGACGTGCCGTATCGCGCGCTCGCATCTGTACGCGAGTGCTGGCGCCGGGACTAGGCGCGAGCCGATTTATGCACCGGAGAATGCAATTTGTGCACTTTATTCAGCGTAATTTGAAGCACTCGCGCGAAAGAAAGTTTGGGAGTTTGCGCGCTCGACTTTGCAAAAACTTGCGCGCCCTGTCACGTCGTCGCATCGCTTGGTTTTTGCGCCCCTCCCCGGTGGCGCCGACCAGCCTCGACAACAGAGACGCCCGACGGCCAGCTGCTCTCTGACAAGTTAATTACTGTCAGTTAATTGCGTCTACGGCACGGCAAACGCTGATCGATGACGGACCTGCCGGAATCTTCCTTTCCGTTGCTCCGAGCCTGCCGCGACAAAAAGTTTGATTAGACGCTACGTGCAACTCTCGGTCTCGGGAGTAATACGCTTGTTGCGTGCGGCCGATATATGTGTTTGGGCCTTTCGCGTGGTCCCGGTTGGCAGGAGCGCGCGGCGCGACGAGCCGTGCGGGCCAAAACTTGAATTAGTCGCGCGCCGGACGTCGACGCGCGGTCAGCGCTAATTTCCAACTCGCACGGCGCTTCCGCTGGTTTTTCGCCCGCCGCTCCGCCCCTCCGCAACTCGTCTCCGACTAAATCTAAGTCGCACCGGTGCGCCCGTTAACTGTGCGGCCGACGCGAGCGCGACAACGAGGACACGACGATGCGCGCCAATCTGACTGCAATCGAATTCTCCGTTCATCTGGAATTCGGCTGTCGGACTAAAAAGCTGCTGGCGCAGAGCCTTGTGCGCCCGCGCCCGCGCGCGCACAGTTCGGTCATCGCAGCTTCTGTTCGTCGCGCGTAATTGCATTGGCCCACCGCGGAAGATTCCATTATCGTTATATTAACGACGCGTAACTGGCGGCCGTGCCGACGTACGAGGTGCGCGTCGTGGTGGTGGTCGTCGCGAGCTTCCATTATAATTTGTCGAGCGAGCCACCAAGTACGAGTTGAAAATCGAACGCGTGCCCCCGCAATCTGCCGCGAGTGCATAATCGCGTTCGAGTTTGCGACCGAATTTGGTCGGGTTCGCGCGCGGCCCGAGGCGAGCCAGCTGCCGCTGCTAGTCGCAAGTGGCTCGCCGCTAGTCGAGTCACGCGGCGCCGACCCATCGACAGTTTAGGACACGAGGCAGCAGAGCAGCAGATGCTCCGCCGCGGAAATCGAGCGGGCATTGGTGGTTTCGACCGGATGCTACGGGCAAACTTGATTCGCACGAGCGCTGCAAAGTCCGCTTCTTGCTGTTTTTCCGAATTGCTGTCGCTTAGCTTCCAATGGCAATTCACATTCGACCGAAATCGGTCTGGCTGAATTGGACCGCATTGGAGCTCGGACGCAATCGAGTCACACATTGCTCGTCCACGCGCAGAGACTTTGGTTGAACAATGCTGCCATCGTCGCGGTACGAAAACATAAGCTAATAATGGTCCGAAGGCGTGTGCTATGTGTACATAAAAGCACGCGCGCGCACGTATACGAGCTGGCCGTAATGTTGATGGTTACAAGGGGGATAGTCATACTGAGCGCGCTGCTGCCAAGAGGGATCCTAATGTTGGGCCATTGTCCGAGAGAGAGCGGCAGCTCGCTCGTCAACCCCTCGCCGAAATCTGGTAAGAGAGGCAGAGAGAGAGAGAGAGAGAGAGAGAGAGAGAGAGAGAGAGCGAACTGGCCTTGGCGATCGATCCGCGGTCGTCGGGATTAACCACTTTCGACCTGTATGAATTCAGCCGCTAATGAAGGCTCTCGCTTATGGTTCGGCGTGTCCTCTGGAAATGTGGAAAGGCGCAGTGGGTCGATAAGCCAATATATCGGATTTTAAAAGGCAGTCGAGTCGTTGTATTTGAAGCATTGTAAGGTGTGCGCGCTGCTGCCGGCGGCGGGAAAAACCAATTCGGCAGCCGTGACCATAAAACTCGACTCGTAGAGAGAGAGAGAGTGGGAGAGGGAGGCCATTTCTAAAAGTTAAATAAGGATCGGAGGCAGCGATAAGGGCACGACGAATAAAAGTATTTCATTGGCAGTTTCTCCGGTGCCGGTGCTGCTGGCAAAATGGGCGGGAAACGGAAAATGGAGGCAGAGAGACGGATGCATTTTTGCAGGCTCGCCGGAGGAGGAAATACAGTCGCGGATTAGGGTCGCGCAGACGCAGATTGAAATCTAGTCATATACCATTGGAATATCGCTGTTCCGCAGTGGCGCCAGCAGCGGCGCGCATCGTATTCTCGCGGTCGTGTTTACACTGGCCGCTATGGATATTAGGATTCGATTGGTCCGCCGGGAAATCGGCATTCAATTGTTCAATATCGGCCGGGACTGTGATATAAACCCTAGGCGCGACTCGATCGGGGATTTGAATGTCGCGTCGCATCCGTCTCTTTCGCCACGAGACAAAAGGCAGCCGCGCCGCGTACACCGCGTGCTTCGCGACCCTTTCCCCGTCAATTTTACCATTCGCCTTCATCTCCACGCTAAACACGCGTTACTTATCGACAATTTGTCGGCGGCTCGGTGTCGATAGGCGCCTGCGGACGCCCGTAATGCCGGTAATTACGGTCAGTCAGCCTCGGCTATTACTACTCCATACATGCAGGCTGTCGCTCGGGCCGTCGAGGCTAATCATCCGCTCACAGGCGTCACAGGTGTCGGATCACCGGAAATGGTCGTCAATCCGAAATCGAATCCCAGTGGCACGCTCCTCTCGTCGACTTTTATTCGCGGCGAGCGCCCAGAGGCCAGCAAACGACGAAATAGTCACGTCAAACTGCACTGCTGCAGCGCAGTAACAGCAGCGCCAGCACTCGCGCCTAAGGAGACAAAAGGAGCAGAAGACAAAGAGCAAGAATAAAGATCCACTTACTCGGGCCGAGGGCAGGGGGATGTCTCCTCGTATGCCCGTACCCTCGTACTTTCTCGTTTAAATCTCGTTCGCGGGGCGGAGGGGCAGGCCGGCTGAGCGCGCCTTGCGTCACTCCCCGCCTGGCGTCATACGGCTCTAATGCGCCCAGAAATGCGCCCAGGCGGCTTTCCGGGCGTGCAGCGCGCCTAATCTCCAAAAATGCTCTCCCCGCTTGATCCCGATATTATGAGCCGCGCTTGCCAAAGTAGTCCAAGTAATCAGCCTCGCAGGCAAATCTCGGGCCGAGAGAGACAAAGGGAGATAAAACAAACCTTTGCGCAGCGCTCGCACTCTCTTCTTTCTCACCCGGCTGCGATCGTCCAGAGAACGAGCAGAAGTCTGGTAACGAGAAGTGTTTTCAGATGTTCAATAGTAATAACATGATAATCTATCGAAAGAAATCTCATCTGGATATTTCTATTCTAAAGTACGATCATTCAGAAACTACAAGTAAGAGAACGCACCTCAATATAATTACCAACAGCGCACCAGATTACGAATGGCGATTCGATCAGCGAAGTTTTACCAGTTGACAAGGGAAGATGCCTCCCTCCAACGTCTCGGACACGAATACAGCCCTCGCTACGTCGTCGCCTGTGAGATTAACGGTGGGCAGTAGTTGCCGCGGTGTTAGAGGCAGCTGGGGCTGCAGGTCGCCCTGTCCTTAGCTCCCTTGAACCGGCGGCGTCGCTGGTGTACAAAAGGTTGCACGCACGACGGCATACAACCGTACGCAGATGTGGGTATCACCACAGTTATACTGAGTTGCGACACGGATTATCGCGACAGATTAAACCGTTTGCGTCGAGTTTTCCTTCGATATTGCGGTCGCGCCGGTCATTTTTGTCTCAGGGGAAAGGGGGAAATGCCCTACTCTTTGGGTCCCCCATCGGTGCCCCAATCAGCGTTCGGGAATGCAACGTGTCATCGAACCCACGCGACCTCGACTTACACTATACACGGTCACTTAGCTACCCGAGGTTGCGGCGAGTACCCTCCTTTTATTGCACACCGCGACACTATCTTGGACCACTGGGAGTTCCCGAAGGCCACGAAACACAAAACAAGATAATCGGATGCAACGCTCTCCTATTTCCTCTCACTTTTCACTTTTCACGGACGGACATTCCTGCTCATGCGAAGCATGCGCAGCGCGGATGCCGCAAACAAGAAGAAAACGTTGCTGCTCCATTCGTCTCGAGAGACTTGATGGCCTTCCATCGCGCGAGCGCATGCCGCGCGGCGTTTCGCGCAGCGCAACGGCAACATCAAATTATGCAAGGCGGCGCGCCGCACGCGCGCGAGAGCGTTTAGCATCGAATACGGGAGCGCGGCAGTATCGCCAGGCGTATTTATGCGGCGCGATGTCGCGACTCCAACGACGAGTGTCTCGCGCGGTGGCGCTGTTTGCGGGACATTCGTATTCATGGGAAACCGGCTGCACAGCTGCCCTCGCGAGCTCCGCTTGTGTTGCTACGGCAAGGAAAATTGCCGCTCTGTTAGCTGACGTTGCTCAGTCGGATAGGCTCGCTCGCTCGCTCGGATTCGAATTCTCGCATCCGTCTATGCAATCCAAGACGGTAAGCGAGCATTGAAACAGTCGCTATGCGGAGATTAAACAACTGATAATCGGAAGCGAAACAG